ATTAAGGGTGCTGCTTCTCTCGATTGCAGCCATCTTTACTTCTTCTTTAAAAAGATCCCAGCGAACAGCCCACAGTGCATTATCGTTACCATATAAATTATCAAAAAGTTTACTCACACTTCCTCTAAAAGGTTCATCCGTAAGAATACTACTGTTGAGCTTCCATAGTGCCCAGTCCCATTTAGGTGATTTTGTCTTATTGCCAAGAGTAAACATGACTAAGGCATGATCACTGAAAGACATGTGCTTAACAGAGTAATCGCTACGAAGAGGTAAAAGATCAAGAGAAACATAGACCCTATCCAGTCTCGCATGACTCCGGCCTTGAAAATGCGTGAACTGTACATTTCCCTGATTCATACAGGCCGCCACGTCCTCTAAGCAATGCCCCGAAACAAGGTCATTCAAAGAAAAGGAACTCGCGTCTCGAACAGGAGCATGACTCGCTCGATCTTGTGGCCTACAAACGCAGTTAAAATCACCAAGAAAAATAATTACCCGCTCGCAATCGAGATACGTGCTCAGGCTTTCAAAAAAAACTTTGCGTTCACCTTCGCGATTCGGCGCGTAGACACAGAAAACGCGCCAATCGGCGTTAGAAAAAGAAAAATCGCAGTAAAGAAATCGCCCGGAACCACAAGAATGCACGGCTGTTTCTACCACTCCAATTGACCGCCGAATAAACAAACAACAGCCGGCGGAAAACCCAACAGCATGCGACACGCAAACGTTAAAATAATTCTGAAAAATTCGCACCATACGGCCAGTCTGTTCCTGGCTTTCAATTTTGGTTTCTTGAACGGCAATAATATCAAGCTCGTTCTCAGAAAATAAACGGCTCAACTGGCACTGCCTACGCCTGGCAGACAGGCCACGAACATTAATCGTGGCCACGCGTAAGGCTGCCTCGAGACGTATTGCCATTCAGGGAAAGGGAGACCGTATGGTGCCTACCTTAAGTTCTGAGAAGTTGGCCGTCCGACGAGCGGACTTCGACGTCCGAAAGCCACCGGCCACGCCAGGTTAGGGGGATGGTTGCGCCCCTTTCTGGTCCTTCACAGGAATGTTCTGTTTGACTTGGAGCCGTCTTCTCCAGAGGGGCGCTGCCTTGGAGGGTGGCTCTTCCTGGCTCGTCACGTTAGGGTCCCCGCTTCCGTCGTCCCGCGTCCGCTTCGAGGCTGCACCGCTTGCCGAAGAGTCCTGGTCTTCCATGGGCGATTCCCCTGACAAGTCAGGGGCGGTGACGTCGCTCGTGCCGGCTGCCGTATTCCCAGGTCTCGACGCCTCGACGGACGGAACGTCCGGAGACTCGGCCCGGCCAGCCGTTCCAGCAACCGGCGCGGCATCGACTTCGGACGACTCCGCGACACCCTCGGGAGTGGCCGCTACGCTCGCCGTTGACGTAGCCGGGGGTCGCAGCCTGCTCAGCCTCGTCCTCATCCATCAGCAGCTCCGTGGACTCCTCAGTGACCTTGCTGGAGGCCGCACGGGCGTACGTCTTGACGCAGTCCCGGGCCTCGTGTCCAAAGGCGCGACACTCCGTGCACCGGGGAGCCCGGCAGTCGCGGCGAATATGCCCCGTGCGACGGCAACGGAGACATATTGGCGCCCGCCCGGGAACTACGACCAAAACGTTGCCTCCGCTGACACGGAGCTGGTGCGGGAGGCTCTCGAGGGCAACGCCCTCCTTGAGGGCCAGGCGTATAACGACGGTAGTGGAGTCGACGTCAACGAAGCCGTAGACCTTCCACTTCTCTCGGGAAACCTCCTTCACCTCCCCGAAAGGCTCGAACGCTCGCCGTATCGAGTCCTCAGGCGCGTCAAAGGAAACCCAGTGGAGCTTGACGCGAAGCTCCCTCCGGTTGGGGTCGAACGGCAGACACGTCTTCCCCTTCACCTGAAGACTCCCGGCTTGCAGCAGCTTCGCCTTGGCCTCCGGCGTCCGCAACTTGAGCAGCCAGACGTGGCTCATCTGGTAGGCTCCCAGACCCGCCACGTCTGACAAGACGCCCACCTGTTTCAACGGGTCCCGGAAGTCTTCGAGGCGGTACGGTCTCCCTTCGAGGTCAGCGTGAAGGACCACGCTGAGTTTCGCCGCTTCACCGGTGGGCAATGTCGGCAGCTGCAGACGATGCTCCTTCAAAACGGGGGCAACGTTATCACCGCGGCCGATAACGGCCGCCGCCGCTGGCGAGGAGCGATGCATGACACGTCCGTTCGCTATCGCGTCCGGAAGTGGAATCCACTATGCTATGCCTCCGCTTAATAAACTCGCTTTGACTATTCGATTTATACGAGATGCTTCGGCTACAAATGCAGTTAAGTCGTCAGCGTGTTATGCAGAGCACTCGTACATCACTCGCCGTACTTCAGTTCTACTCACCTGCCATGTAGAGTACTTTCGCGTCGTAGAGCGATCCTTTTGTTCGCGCGTCACCGGCCCAGTAGACCTGGTACACCTTGTCGTGTTCAACTACACCGCTAAAGTCCCTTACATCGTCGGAACTCACAGCAGGCTGGGTCTTGTCGAGTAGAAATTCTACTAAAACATAAGACATTGTAGAGCCCGAGCAGGATCGACAGGTTAAAGCAAGCGGGCAAACAAAACGAGTCGAGAGCGATCGTTCATGGAAGCTCGGCGAAGTCTCTATGGGCGAAGCGAAGTCGGCGAAGTGTCGTCTTGGCGCTTCGGCGGGCTTCTGATCAAGGTTGTCGGTCCGTTGCGTGTCATATCTCTAACGTCAGCGGTTTTATGGGCTCACGTCCCGAAATCGTTTTCTCGTGCATATATTACTTTTTGTATTCATAGATTTGACGAAATAGTGGTATCCGAACGAACTTTACGTCCTTTGACCGTACGTCTGTCTGCACGTCAAAGCTTTTTGACGTACAGTCAGAGACAATCGATGTACAGTCAGAATCGCCACCAAGACATCCTGATGGCATTTCGCGGCGGCCGACTGCCACCAGGAAACCATCAGAAAGCCGACAAGCGGAGTCTGACTGGAGTTTGACTGTAGGTCAGAGTAACTTGTTGGCCAATCAGTCATGCTTGACGTACAGTCAGGCACAGTCAGCGGTCCACTAGAAAACATTGACTGCCAAACAGCGTTACATTGATGGATTTTTCCTTCGGGCAGTGTCACAAAGAGAATCAGAAAAAATTAGAAACGTGCAGGTAATGAAATTTGTAGGGGCTACTACCGCGTCAACATTCGGCTAGGAGTCGTGTTCTCAATCATTGGACACGATTTTTAGCCCAACGCTGACGCGCCGCAGTCGTGTCCAATTTGTGGCCTACAGTGGCTTTCCTTAGTGACGTAGGAAAGCACTTAGGCTTCCTCGTCTAGGAGTCTTTGGTTGAGCTATATTTTACCTTCCACTTCTTTCATTGGCTACGTAAGGTATTTTTACAACAAAATCAGAAAAAAAGACTAACACTTAGAAACGTAATGTCCTATTGCAATCAAGTCAAAACGCGAAAGAAATACCAAACAAAGTTTTTAGCTACGCAACAATCAAGCTATGTTTGTTCTAGTAAGGCAGGGATTGCCTCAGTAAAAAGTTGGTCATTAAATTACAGTATTTTTGCTTCCAGAATGTTTTCAGCGATTAGACGAATTGATCGATCAATCTTCCATCTTGAAAACACATCTAGTAGTGAAGAATCGCTATCATCTATCTAGTGATTAAAATTAAATCAATCTCAAGTATATAAAATAGATATCTTTAAAACATACAATACATATTTAAGTAATGTAAATCCGATTTAAATCAAATAAATCTTACGTAACTTTTTTAATCATTATTTTTTAATCCTCTTGGGACTAAAAGAACCCGAACTAAGTTAGTTCCCTTTTAACAGAAAAAGTTCTAGTCCTTTAAACAAAAGCACTCAATATATAAAACATGTCGGTTTAACTCCATTGCACGCAACATAACATTTTTCAGCTCGAGCTAAACCCTAAAAATAAAATCAGTGACGAGAAGCATGGAGGTTTTCTAAAAATTATAGGTACGCTGGTGGCAAGTGTCACCAACGGTTTTGTTGGGGTACAGCTATAACCGAATGGCAAACAAGAAACTTTCCTTAATTGCAAGTTGGATTGAGTTTTGGTCGTAAAAAAATCAACGTTATTAACAAAAAAAAAATTAAAGGCATATGCATGCTCATAAAAATGAAAGGCGTGAACAGTTATTCGTAAGAAAAGGACAATGCGATCTGTAACCAAGGCTAACGTCAGCTCTTTAACTTAGGTCAGGTAGTAGTGAGTGCAGAGAAACATGCAGCGCATCCTCGCTTTGCTAAAGGAAGGCGTGGGCAGTGTATCGCTGCGGCCTAGCGCACTCACCCAGAAATAAGCCATCAAAATGGGCAGCATAGAGCATTTGTTGTAATAGAAAAAAGGATATTACATATTTTATTAAAATGGTAGTAATGGCCATCATGATTAAATTAAATGACCTGCAAAAAATACACCATAAATTAAACTACCTATTTTTTTTTTTTAAACCTCGGCAAATTCTCCATTAATCTTTAAAACTAAAGAACACGAATTCAAGTCAGAACGTCCAGTTAGGTGTCATCCCTCTGTATGTATTTTTGTCTGCATTCTGAACCTATGTAGTGTTAATAAATAAATTAAGTACCGTATAAGCTGGAATATAGGTCGACCCCCTAATTTACAAGTTGCAAAAAGCGAAAAAAATTGGCCAAGTATATGGAAGGACGATCATTAAATAAGACGAGGGTCGACTTTTTCAGGTCGCTTTCTAAAAATAAATTCGACCTATATTCTGGTTTATACGGTAAATCGATTAGAAAAAATAGCGAACTCCGAACTATTCCTATTTTTATCTTACGTTGGAAGAGAGGAAAGCGTATATGTATTTTTTTAAACTTATTTTCTCAGTAACTATGAACATGTACATGTACGAAAAGCTGCCTACCAGCTGTGCAGCAGCGGGTAAAAAAAAAATAACATGTTCGGTGACCGTGTGCTTGACGCAGCCATACTCCGACGAACATACGATCCAAGCAGCCGTCGAAATGAACCAAATGCTTCACGTATACTTGAGCGTTTTAAATACCAACCCGTTCACCACGCAGATACTGACCATTGCTACGTGCATGTTCGTCGGCGACATCATCTCCCAGACTGCAGTTGAGCGTGCGACAGCTTTCGAGGTGAAACGAGCTGCCCGACTTTGTCTCATTGGACTGTTCTACACCGGCCCCGTGGCAGTCGCGGCTTTCGCGTTCCTGGAATGGTTGGTAGGAGACGGCAGCATCATCACTACACTAACGAAAGTGGCACTGAGTCAGTGTTGTGTCGCGCCGCTTACCACCCTCGGTTTCTTGGTCGTGTCCGGCGCATTGCAGCGGTTGCCTTGGGTTTCCATCAAGCACAGCGTCAGCACAAACTACGTGGCCATACTGAAGTCAAGCTACGTGTTCTGGCCTGCGGCGGAGATCGTCATCACTCAACTTGCGGAAGTGAACCATCGCCCGGTCTGGGGAGCAGTTGCATCCCTCTTCTGGAACGTCTACGTGTCCTGGAAAACCAACAGGGAAGTCGCGCCTCAGCGCCGACAGCCAACGCCTGCTGAGAAGCATCGAGTGGAATAGGTTGGGAGGGCTACCTCTCTGGTGTCCGATGCTCTCGGTATGATAATTCCGGTATCTTCCATTACTTCAATAACCTATAATTCACAACTTTTAATTGGAAATGTCTTCCTCCTTGAGAACTTTCACATTCAGAGAGTATTGATTGAATAACTCAAATACAGCACAGTGCTGGTAACGTAGTTTACAACCCGCTGTAAATAAAGAAGATACAACCGCGGGTAAAAATTTGCTAGCTCCACATAGCGCTGATACATCACTTGACGGAGGGCGCAAATTTTTGACGCGCTCCAGCTTTCAATGTGTTAGAAACGTGCGCAAATTGTGGGGGATTCAATAGAAGCTTAGTGCGCTAAACCAGAAGATCGCTCTTTGAAAGATAGGGAAAGACGCCCCGTCGCTATTCACCCCAGAATTCTGGAGTCCATGCACAACCTCGACTTCCATGGAGCTTGATTCATTTTTTTTAGTGATTAGTTTGATGATGCATGAACTATAGACGTTCGATTAAGTAGAGAGTCGACATGATACCAAAATCCGCGTCACCAATGCCTTCATTCACTTTGCATGTCTGTACCTTAATGTTTAATAAATAATTTTTAATATTTCACGTGAGTACATGGTACAGTTTATTCTGGAAAATATTACAGTCCTAGATATCTGGTGTTTTTGCTTTCCGGCAAAGCCCTTGCAAAAGCAAATTCCTACAAGCTGGAGGACTCGCGAGGTGAAAATGTCTTTAGACATCAAAAAGGTAGTTTTTGAAGTCTACACATAGCCTGTACGTAGTTTCTAGTACATGTATAGACTTTAAAAACTACTATACTTTAACATTTTTGCAATCTATACATATATGCCGCCTTGACGTTCCATGGTCTCGCTCCGTACATTGAAATTATTGACATTTTCAGGTTTTCTTGGGATAAGTAGGTGGTCCTGATACTTTTACATTGATACCATTAATAAAGATCAATGAACCGATGACACGTATGAATAGCTATTCAAAAATGTGCCATTTCGGAAACTTTGCTTTTGACGTAAGCTGCAGATGCGATTATCATAATAATTTTGAAATATATGGTTCCTGCCCATTAACAAACAAACAAAAAACTACCATGTTGTTTGGCGTGACTATTGTCAGTAAATATCGTTTAAGTTACAAGTTACGAGATGTGAGTGCGGTACGAATTTATTTTGATGGCTGAAATGTGACACGTTGGTTTCTAACGGTGTAAATATCTAATGTCTCTTTCTACACGAAATCGCACGCGCCTAATTGTAAGAATAAATGGTAATTGTTCAACGAAATATTGGCGTTATTTTAGGGAAGGGAGCCTCTTCTGCTTTATTTATCTGCTACAAATAAATCTCGTTTTACTGGCATAAAAATCTGAAAATATAGGTTTACACTGGAAAACTTTGCCAGCAATAAAAACAAAATGTTACCGCTCCACTTGCAACGGCGACGAGGGGGCATTGCCTGCATAAGGACAGCTGGCATTTGTTAATATATCCTCGGCGGCCGAGAACGCTTTACGCCAGCCAACACTGACAGAGATCGTAACTAGACTGGACGAAAAATCGTGAAGGATAAAAATTGCTAATGGTACCAGTTATAAAAACACGGTCGTCTTCCTTGAAGTCGAATTGGCTACTACCTGGTCAGGGCTGCCATTTTTTGTCTGTCATCAACATCGTAACTCGGTGACCAAAACAAATCCGGTATTTTTGTTTAAGTATCAATAGTTGGGGCTAGCTGTGAAATCGCCTAATACGTTTCTAGAGGAACGCGTTCTCAGAGTGCAAGGAACGAAGAAAGAACTAAACAGAGACTGATATTCCTCTCGATGCGGTTTCCCGCTAAGTTCAATGGCAGCCCACAGTACGCTCCGTTGAACACGAATCAAGCGGACCTAGAAGTGCAGGACCATAACGCCCGTCGTCTACGTGCGTTAGCCATCACGGGCTAGAGCAATCGCGAACTGTGACCCTGATCCTGTGATTTCTTTTTTTTCGTGGGCGATTGGTTGAGCCAGTGAAAGCCAACGCATAAAATGGACGGGAGCCTTAACGATGCACCTCTAGGGTTCGTATTTGGCGTGAAACTAAGTGTCTCGTATCAACTCACGCTTTCTTTTAACTACTTTTGCCGTTAAACATATTCCTATCGGTGTGTACAAAACACGCTCATTCCAGCCCCCGTCTACACGAGTGAAACAGCGCACAATTTCGGCTATTTTTACGCCGTTCACGCACACTTTATGCCCGTAGTCGCTAATTTCGTTGGCTGCTCCGGCAGCGAGTACTTCTAAGCGCGGGAGCGTGCGGTCGCTTTCCGAGAACATTTTTATCCAGTCAATTTACACATTTTTTTTTTTTTTTTCAGAGCGCAGCTTTTAGGCGTCCGTTTCCGGCTTGAGCGGCGTCGCCGTCGGCCGTCGGCGTCGACGTAACCGTAAGGTCACGTGACCCCCCCCCCCCCCCCCCCGAGATCACGTGACCCCCGTGAGGGGAGGAGGAGAAAGGAGGGGAGCAGGGAGGATGAGCAGGGGGGGCGAATCCGAATTTTCATTACTTCGAACAATGACTTTAAAAGACTCTTCTCTCTTGTCCCTCGGCCGGCTTCAAACCGGAACCCTATCGTTCAGGAGTAGCAGGCAGGATCACGAGGGAGGAGGAGGGAGGAAGAATATACCCTCCCATCAGTACCCTTCCCTCCTCCTCCCCCGTGATCCTGCCTGCTAGTCCTGAACGAAAGGGCTCCGGTTCGAAGGCGTCTGAGGGACAAGAGATAAAAGTACTTTTAAAGTCATTTTTCGAAGTGATGAAAATTCGGATTCGTCCCCCCCGCTCATCCTCCCTGCTTCCCTCCTTTCTCCTCCTCCCCTCACGTGGTTCACGTGATCTCGGGGGTGGGAGGGGAAGGGGTCACGTGACTCCCGGACCTGGGGAGGGGGGGGGGTCACGTGACCTGGGGACCCCAATACCTCCTGCAGATAACGTGGCCGCAGCGCTGGATATTACACCTAACTCTAAAAAACGTCCGTGCGTGTGCTTTCGCATAAACACTCGGAGAGGCAATCACCGCGACTTGCGGAGGCAGCTCAGCGAATGACGATTCCGAAACAAATGTTTAGACCAAGAAATGCACTCTGAGTTGTGACATGCAGCAATGCAAAACGTCACGCTTGCATTGTTTAATGTCACAACTCAAACAGCGTTTTTCTTTTCTTTTTTTTTTTTTTTTAAACATATCTTTTGGCATTGTCATTCGCTGAGCTGCCTTCGCAAGTTGCAATGATTCTCCGAGACTTGTGCTGGAGAGTAGACGCACGGGCCTTTTTTAGAGTGTATCGGAGGCCAGCGCGGCACAGAGATTGGACGCGAATATACTGTTCGTGTGGTATACTCGTATACGCTCAATGATTAGACACGAACCCCAACCAAGTGCTGAGGAAACACTCGTGTTCACCGATACATGCCTCCACATTTGCCCTCCGGTAGTCGAGGCAGAAAGTACCGTTTCCTACGGCGCCGTCGTCTAAGAAGGGTTGCCCCGTACCCGGGCACACACGCACCTTAAACTCACTAGGCGTGCGCGAAACGACGCTAAAGTGTCCGCTCTTCCGGTCGTTCATACTCCGTTTCACTCCAAGTCCGGCCGCGGCAGACATTATGATTAATGGAGCCAATGTAGCCAATATAGCCAACTGAATTAGTCGGGCACGGCGAGGGTGCCGTGGTCCTGCGCTATCTTCTGTGCGTGATTGCTTTCGCCGGTCAGAGGCAACCCAGCAAGAAAACGAGCCCCGTGATGACGATGCCCTTGCGGCGCTCCTCGACCGGTTTCATCAGATACTTGCGCAGGCATTTGCAGAATGCCTGCGGAAGTATCCTCCTTGTGAAGAACATTTTAAAGATTTATTCACGAACTTGGGTTGCGAGACATAGACTGTAGAAATCCGATGAAATTGTAATAATTGCTCAGTGTGCAACATATCCCCTCCGCCCCCCCCCCCCCTAACCCCACACATACATACAAAAAAAAGAAGCTAGGGTTTCATATGTACACATTTGTGTGCATGTCGGTTGAAAGCCCCGTTAAAAGTGAATAGGGATGTTAGAGAAAAGAAACCTATGCTCCATTCATCGATCGAAATAAGGGTGAGTAACATTAAATAAGGAGATCTATTTTTTTATGAGGGGGGAGGGGGGGAAGTCGGTATTTAATTCCGTTTTATATATCCTTTGCTACCTCATTCACATTATCAACCAGAGCTTTGTTTAACGAGGGTCGTAAAAACGCGGATGCTACTCGATTTTTCCCAATAAATCTCAGCGGGCTTGCCAAGATGCGTTAATCTGGGAGTTGGGCGTGCGATGAAGCTTGAAAAAAGGATGAAGCACAGAAGCGCATCTGCTTCAAACCGTGTTGGTGTAAGCCCACATTCGGTAAATATTAATTCGTTTGTCGCTCAGAGTTAGAGAGGATGCTTTTCATTCGGCCAAGTACTTCATCAATGTTCAACAAAGCTTGCAACAAACAAAAATAAGCCGTTTGCACTAAGTTTGTATCGGGCATGCAAAGAAATATCCCACCGTTGCCTCTGCCCCAGTACGTGAAAAATTCGAATCCCGGAAAAAAGCTCACCGGAGAAAAGCTCACCGGAGAAAAGCTCACCGGAGAAAAGCTCACCGCAAAACCGGCGGATGCGGAAAAAAGCTCACCGGCCATTGAGCGTATGCGGAGAGAAGGCTCACCGATGTTTTTTCTTCCTTTTACATGGAGGCTGTTGGATCATGCGTAACGTATATCAATTTATTATCATTAAAATTCGTCAGCCTTGTAAAAAATAAAATATGCGTTTTCGTGATATTTGTGAAGCTTATTGCGTATATTGCTCCCAAATTAATATTTGTGGGCGAGTGTTTTCTGTGGCTTACTCTCTAGGCAACGAAAGCCCAACTGAAAACTTTATGAACTTGAAGAACAGAAAAATGGTCGAAAACTTAATAATGTTTGCCTGAAACCTAAAAAATCAAAACTGTAAATGCCAAAAATGCCAAAGTGCATGCGCAACAACGCGGTGCCTGAAATTCTCTTTGAAGCTTTTGTTAACTTCTAAAAACAGGATAAAACAGTAAGTAGGATATCGAAGCTTCTTTCTTCCCCGGACATGCAGGTTTTCTAGCTGTTCGTGCTGGTGTTTCCACATGTTCCCTTTGTGTGATAGTGCCCTTCTACGGCGAGATACCCATGACCTTCAGAGCTGCACACTGGCACCGTTGTTGCTCGTGACCTATATAAGAAGTAGTCTTCTGAAAAGTAGCGAATTGGGCGAGTTGGTAAACGTTAGCCGCTCAAACGACGACGACGGAGTGAAGACAACAAACACGACAGGACGGAGCTGTTCTCGCAACTAAAGGTTTGTTAGTGAAATTAACAGAAAGGAAAGAGCGTAGCCGACACTGATTACATCAACAAACACCTACTTATCTATTAGGCATTACACGATATTTGGAGCTGAAACGGTTCACACGCCGCTTTTCATATTAGCTCGCAAAGAACAAACCTTTTTATCTGATAGAGCTACCGACGGCGCACTCTCA